CTATCAGATTACTACTGTGAGCAAATGATTTATCACATACTTCACACATATATGATTTTTCTCCAGTGTGAGTTCGTTGGTGTGTTGTTAGACTACTATTCTGAGTGAACGATTTTTCACATACTTCACACTGGTATGGTTTTTCTCCAGTGTGTATTCGACGGTGTACTATCAGATTACTACCGTGAGCAAATGATTTATCACATACTTCACACTGGTATGGTTTTTCTCCCGTGTGAGTTCGTTGATGACTTATTAGATTACTATTCTGAGTGAACGATTTTTCACATACTTCACACTGGTATAACTTCTCTGCCATGTGAGTTTGTTGAAATACTTTCTTTTTTCGGTTATAATAGATTGTATAATAATTATGGTGCCTATAATCACGAGTCTATGTATATGAAAAACAAATCTTAACTATTCTAGAAAAAAGTATAAGATAATTGAATAGACAAAAAACGTTGTTTTGTTAAAGGTAAATATATACTTAATAATAAATAATTAATAATAATTTTACTGGCCAGTGTGTTTAATAATAATAATAACAAAAAATAAATAGTATATAGGAATATAAATGGCTCACAAAACAGTAATAGTACAGTAGTATGTATAAATAGTTTTCCCATATTCTAAATATAATGTACATTATTAGTATCAATTATTATACATGCATATTTTATTTTGGCTTTTGCGCTACTTTTTTTTTGCGCCCTTGGCCTGAGCCAGGCGTTAACTACGACTATACGGCGGGCAATGATAATATTATTAACAGTAACTCGCTCGATATCCACTGTTTACCAGAGCGGTTTTTTATTTTTTATATATGCATATACTATAAATAATAAATTCTCAGCTCACAGTAAAAAATGTTAAATAGGCTAGCAAACAAAGCGAATAGGGGTAGAATCTCATATTAATCTTATATAATATAATAAGTATATAGGTGCAAAATTTAGTAACCGTATTATATACATTTTAGTCTCGATTCAAAATCTAACAATTTAACGATTTAAATGATTTATCCGTATTTTGTCAATCATTTATTCAAAATATCAATTTTAGTTTGTTCAACGTTTGTATTGAATTTTAAAATATTTGATTAATTTATTTTATTTTTAGACGTTCGGCATGGGTTAGAAAGTCAGCAAATAATATTTTGATTTTTATTTTGATTTTCGATGAAAAGCGATTTCACAGCTACTACAATAGTGATCTTTATTTGCGTAGTATAGAAAAAAAAAGTATAAAAAAATAAGCAAAAAATTGTTTTTCGACAACAAATACAATATACGATTATACGAGTATACGTTCCTTTCGTCGTTTATAATAATAATAATAATAATAGAAGCGAATACGATGTTTCCTGCAGATATTGGACTTACTTCGTTCTCTTCAGAATAATATGATTTATAAAATTCATTATTTTCCATAATAACTTTGAAGTCTGTTATTTAAAATCGTTTACGTTTTCGAAATCACTTATGTCTCATAAAAAGTTCGCTAAATATGAATAAAAATAAATAACGAGAATTTCCGATATTTAGTTGTATGTACTAAATTACATTATTAAATAAATATTTTTTATATCAATAATTAGCATAAATGACTATTGGATTTGTTTCTCGTGTATTACGATGTGTATAATTCGTAATAAAAATGTCATAATAATTATAATATCATTAGTATAGGGCGCATAAGTTTACACAGATGGCGAGATGACCTTCTTTTAGTTTAGACACTAGTAACGAGTCTCACGTTTAAATCTACAGCAGACAGTAGTAAATAAAATGTCTTTCGTTATGATTCAGTTTGTCAATGAATCATGTATATATTATATAACGAGTGAACGATCATCGTCCCATCGTCAAAAATATATTTATCCTCACTCGTCCGCTATCATAATAATATAATATTATTATTATTGATATTATCACTAAATAAAAACTCTTCGAAAATCGAAACAGTACCGGAATAACAATTTTGCTGTACTGTGAAAAACTTCAGGTAGGTCAATTTTTTGAAAAAAAACTTAAAAAGTAACACGCACATAATTTGGATAACATTATAGTAAATTTTAATTTAGCATTCTGATATGCATTTAGGTAAAATGTAAATTAATTTCAGCAAATATTTATCATGGTTTTATACTTGCTTAAATAGAGAAATCTCGAAGAGATACTTATTACTTAAACCCCCAATAAGATTCCCACAAGTCGAGTCTTGGCTATAGAAGTTACTAAATACCAATAAACATTATTTTTTTATATAATTTAGAAATTAAACCCAACCATAATTATTGAAAACGTGAAAATAAAAATAATATTTAAAATGTTGTTTTCTAGTACAGTTATTTTGATAAATTATATAAACACGGGTGATAAGAGTTTCTGTATTTTCTCTAATAGCTTTTCACATACAGGTTTAATTAATTTACACTACACGCGGACATGACATCATCTCACTACGCTACGCAGATGCATAATAATGTGAATCAACGTATTATTAATATAATATGATTAATGCGACACTACGCACCATCGAAATACACGATACCATTTTTCAGCACTTCAATAGATATACTTTACACTACACGATCATAATAATATTATGACATTTTGTGTTATATACTACACTGCCAATCCTAATTATTAATATGCAAATCGAGTACACGGTATCCACTAATGCAGTCAGATAGAAAACGCTATTAGACCATGTGATTAGAACCCGATCATGCTTGTGTAATTTTTATCATAAATTCTATATTATCAGCTGTGTATTTTACTTCGTTTGGTTAATAGACTGTATTATTGATTGTCTTTGTCAAAACATTTTATGATAGGTAATATGTAAGTGATAACAATTTAAGCTTTGCTAGTGTCTCCTGCCGGTGATCAAATTACGTCAATACGAAAATAAAATAGTAAAATTATTTATTTATTGGTACGTCTAAAAGCTGTACTTAGAACAGTGAAAGTAAAATTAAAATATATATCTACTAAGAAATATAAATCTTAATACATGACTTACCTTAATTACAACCAACAATTATTATAATTTAGACATTTTTTTGATTGCATGATCATAAATAATCGTTAAAAAATTGTGCTGAATTAACTCTATTAAGTATTTTATAATCGGAAATAATTAACTAAAACTTGGTGCGTTGGTAAATGTAGAAAACGTTAATGAAACACAGTATTAAATTAAATTGAGTTTTATAGGTAGATATTTGAATATTACTAGTGAAAAAGGCAAAAGGCCTCATGGCTTATAATTGCTAAAAAAAACAAAAAAAAAAAAAAAAAAAAACTAGTGAAAATAATGATATTTTTTGAATCATGCTTGTATTATTTTACATTTTTCTATGATTATCAATTACTTATTTCAAGAGTTCCGAATATTTTCTAAAGTATTGATCGGTTCACCAAATCACCTTGCTTAGTATACTTAGAGTGTTGTTTTGAGTTCTTCACACTTTTAAGTCTTGTTCGAAGTCAAGGAAAACTGGTCTAACGAAATTTTGTTTTTTTGTCAAATGACAAAATAGTAAAATCGATTTCGAAACTCAATTCAATAAGTCGTTTTAAAGTTAAATGGTAAAACGAAGTACTTTCGACAGCGACGATGATTGGAGTAAATACGTTTACACTTAAATATCTAAGATATATAGTAAACTTATATAGGTCTATAAATTCAAAAAAAAAAAAAAAACAATCAAACATAATATTTGGCTCGTTGTATTATCTATACAATTTCTACCTTCCTATTACTTGAAACAGTTGAAACTATTCAACACAAAAGTTCGGTACAACACTTTATCACAGATATCATTATATCGATGGATTATGCAGTATGCTCACATCGGTACATTATTAACACATAATATTATAGACTCGACGTAAGTGCGCTAGGTTTAATGTATGCTTACTTATCTTACTTATTCGTATATTTGTGTGTGTGTGTGTGTGTACCTATTATACGTATTTACAATGAAATTATTACAAAACGACGTGTTTATGAACACGTACATAAAATTACATCTTTGAATTGTGCCTATATATTATAATACATTATTGATTAATATACAATATAGCCTATCGAACATTTCGCAATGTATAATACATAAAAACAACGTCATTATTTTGTTGTAATAATAATACGCTGCTGTATTACACGCGTCACGTAAAACGCGTTATTTTCCTCAGACGCCCGTCGTTAAAACCAAAAATAAAATCTGTACATGTACACCAGCACCTTTACCTGTAATACCAGCCTGTCTACGTAGACTGTCCGCCGATCGTCTTTTATACGACTCTGAAATTCGATGCTTATTTAAGGTTTTTTTAAAAGGGTGACAAGGGGTATAATAAATAATAATATGTAATATTATATAACATACATTTTTTTTTTTTATATAAGTGGATTGGTAGCCTACAAGACATTACACATATTGTGTATAATAATTTAGAAATTTTTAATTTTTCATAATTTAGGTTTTTGTTAAAGAAAAGAACCTAAATAATCACTGTAATAAAATAATAGTAAAAAAAATGGTTTTAATTTTAAAAATACAGTGAACTAAAAAATCATTTTTTATTTATTTATTTTTTTATTTTAAAATCAATTACCTATGAAAATGTGTCAGCTTGTAAATTAAATGTGGATCGCCTAACATACGCATATTAATAACATAACCTACCTGCCTATTGATATGCTATATTTTACAAGGTTACTCCAACCATTAAAAACAATAAATATTAGTCAATATTAAAAAAATGAGTTATGTATACAGTAATATTAAACGCTGCTTCGATGTTACTAGCGCCGAGACAATCGAATTGGAACGTAATATGTCTGCTCACAATATTAGCTGTTACATAAATCGGTAGATTATTTCACGGACGTTGGTAGACAGGAGTAAAAACTTTGTCATGATATTATGAGTACATCCTTCACCTTCATAGCACTACGACGGCTTTAAACGTAATGCTGTTCTTCAAGTATTATCGCAATTTGACTCCTCGCGAATACATACTGAACTTTGCAAATATTATATATTATTATTCTTTTTGCATATCTATAAATTTAATGTTTTAACAGAAATATTTTTGTAGTGCTTATACATAAATAGATTATAATATTTTAAGAACTTATTTACAGATTCTAAAATCCAATTAACAATTATTTGTAAAATAACTTGCAAAATTTTAGCACATTCTTCAATCGACCCAAATTGAATGCCTGATAAACAAATCGTAAAATTAGCCAAATAAAGATGAACCTATATTGATAAATTTATATCTATAAAATTATAAAAATAAG